GTCGAGTATGTTTTTCTTTTTCCCCTTTTTTTATATCGAAATTAATATTCAGTTAGTTTATAATATACATGAATAATTTTAATGTTAGAACATAAAAAAAGACTACCACCAGAAAAAATCTAAGTTTATACTATGAAAAAAAATCTGTTTATTGCCTAAGGTAAGGAAGAAAAACAAAACCCTGGAATATTGTTGACCTTTGAAAATTAATATTGCCAACTGAAGATTTTTTCAATCACTAATAATAAATAAATAAATAAATAAATAATAATAATAATAATAAAACCAGGCTAACAATTTAACTTTTTGTATCAATCAAAATTAAAAATCGAATATTTTTATTTTACGCAATGCTCCCCTACTATCCACAGTTTATTCGTGAATAAGCCATTTGTTACTCTATTTAACTGGGGCTGCATTTCTACAGTTGAAAAATATCTGGAACTCCAAACAACTTTCAACCAATACCAAAATCAGGATTTTTCAATACAAATGTGAAGACAGTTCTACTGTATGGAGCGGAAACATGGAGAACTACCAAAGCCATCATCTAGAAGATACAAGTGTTTATTAACAGTTGTCTACGCAAAATACTTCGTATTCGTTGACCAGACACCATCAGCAACAACGAACTGTGGGAGAGAACAAACCAGACTCCAGTGGAGGAAGAAATCAGGAAGAGGCGGTGGAAGTGGATAGGACACACACTACGAAAAGCACCTAACTGCGTCACTAGACAAGCCCTCACATGGAACCCTCAAGGCAAAAGGAAAAGAGGAAGGCCAAGGAACACACTACGCCGAGAAATAGAGAAAGATATGAGAGGAATGAACAAAAAATTGGACAGAACTGGAGAGGGAAGCCCAGGACAGAGTTGGTTGGAGAAAACTGGTGGGCGGCCTATGCTCCATTGGGGGTAACAGGCGTAAGTAGTAAGTAGTAAGTAATATTTAACTGTGTTAGACTGTAACGTGGGGATTAAAATTTTATATTGTATTCTTTGTTATAGTGATTAGGAATCACTAAACGAATGGTTTTCATGTTACTTGAAACTTAGTTCAGAAGGTTGTAACTTGGTGAATTCAACAGTTTCATTTATCCGTCTACTTCTTTGAAATGTTTATAAGAAGGCCTTCAATAACTCACGTGAGTTTATGATGCTTCATGTCTTCTAAGGCAGTCATTCATCTTTGAATACTAATAGTATAGAATAGTGAGGAAACGCAGAAGAAAAGGTACGCTTGTGGTGATGTTTCGTTCTCTGAGCTGAATATTTTGGTTGTGAAGTTTTCATTGTTCTTCTTCTGAACAACATCGTTAGCACAAACTTCGGATGGAAGATGACGATGTTGTTCAGAAGATCAATGAAAGCTCCACAACCAAAATATTCAGCTCAGAGAACGAAAGACTACCATAATCATCCACCTGAGCTACAAAATTTCTCCACCATCTCAAAAGGTATGCTGCAAGGAAAATAATTTACGTCTATTCATTAACTACCTACTGATTTGTCCCCTTTTGAATTTTACTTAAATGTTTCATGTTTTGATGATACTTGCCAATATAAATGAAGTATATATTGAAAAATAAATAGGTGTGATTTAGTTAATATTGTCTTCTTTACTGTTTGCTTGATGACCACAACAACATATACCAACAATCAGTGTGTAATAGTTATCTGCAAGATAATCAATCATATTTGTTTACCGCTCTATCCATTAAATGTCTTTTGAAAAATGTTTGTTAAAATTAAGTTTACACTAATAATTTAAAATTTGATAATTTACATTTGTTATCCCCAATGGAACATAGGCCAAACACCAGTTTTCTCCAACCAACTCTGTCCTGGGCTTCCCTCTCCAGTTCTGTCAAATGTTTGTTCATTTCTCTCATATCTTTCTCTATTTCTCGGCGTAGTGTGTTCCTTGGCCTTCCTCTTTTCCTTTTGCCTTGAGGGTTCCATGTGAGGGCTTGTCTAGTGACGCAGTTAGGTGCTTTTCGTAGTGTGTGTCCTATCCACTTCCACCGCCTCTTCCTGATTTCTTCCTCCACTGGAGTCTGGTTTGTTCTCTCCCACAGTTCGTTGTTGCTGATGGTGTCTGGTCAACGAATACGAAGTATTTTGCGTAGACAACTGTTAACAAACACTTGAATCTTCTGGATGATGGCTTTGGTAGTTCTCCATGTTTCCGCTCCATACAGTAGAACTGTCTTCACATTTGTATTGAAAATCCTGATTTTGGTATTGGTTGAAAGTTGTTTGGAGTTCCAGATATTTTTCAACTGTAGAAATGCAGCCCTCGCTTTGCCAATCCGTGCCCTCACATCTGCATCGGATCCACCTTGATTGTCGGTGATGCTGCCCAGATATGTAAAGTTGTTAACGTTCTCCAAGGCATCTCCATCAAGAGTGATTTGGTTGGTGCATGTTGTGTTGCATCGGAGAATTTTTTCTTTTTCCTTTATGTATGTTGAGACCTACTGCTACAGAGGCTGCTGCTACACTGGTCGACTTCTCTTGCATTTGTTGTTGCGTGTGCGATAGAAGAACCAGGTTTATACTACTCACAAACAAATCACATGTTTAAAGTCATTAATTACTTTTATGTACCCCACAAACAAATTAGAAATGTGGTTTTTTCGCATGATATCGATGAAATCGAACATTCACCCATCAAATATTCTGACTGACCGATAACTTCTTGATGTAAATTTCCTTCATTGCCTGTGAAAATCTGTGTATCGTTTACAGTTGATATTGGAAATGAATACCTACATGTTAACCAAGAGTTTAACTCCACCAGTAGAATCTTAGGGGCTACTGCCGGTCCCAAGCCCGGATAAAGGAGGAGGGTTGGACATGGGGTTGGCGACCCCATTCCGTTGAAATCTCACTTGCCAAAAAAACGCTAACCAGAAAAAATAATTCAAACCATTTTAACTCTGCCCTGGGAGTTGGAAGAAGAATTATGACGTCTCGTGATGAAAGCCGAGTTCCCTCGGAAGTCACGGGGCTGATGCCTCTTCTGACAACCAGAGTAACCATCTTTTAAGGTACATGGAACGTTCGTACATTGTGGGAGACTGGAAGACTATTTCAAGTTGCGGCAGAAATGAAACGATACAACATCGAGGTGCTTGGAATCAGTGAAACGCATTGGACGCAAGTAGGACAACTGAGACTAGCTTCAGGGGAACTGCAGTTATACTCTGGTCATGAAGAGGAAAACGCTTCACATACACAAGGAGTTGCACTGACACTCAACAACAAATGCAAGAGAAGACGATCAGTGTAGAAGCAGCCTCTGCAGCAGTAGGTCTCAACATACATAAAGGAAAAAGCAAAATTCTCCGATGCAACACAACATGCACCAACCAAATCACTCTTGATGGAGATGCCTTGGAGAACGTTAACAACTTTACATATCTGGGCAGCATCACCGACAATCAAGGTGGATCCGATGCAGATGTGAGGGCACGGATTGGCAAAGCGAGGGCTGCATTTCTACAGTTGAAAAATATCTGGAACTCCAAACAACTTTCAACCAATACCAAAATCAGGATTTTCAATACAAATGTGAAGACAGTTCTACTGTATGGAGCGGAAACATGGAGAACTACCAAAGCCATCATCCAGAAGATTCAAGTGTTTGTTAACAGTTGTCTACGCAAAATACTTCGTATTCGTTGACCAGACACCATCAGCAACAACGAACTGTGGGAGAGAACAAACCAGACTCCAGTGGAGGAAGAAATCAGGAAGAGGCGGTGGAAGTGGATAGGACACACACTACGAAAAGCACCTAACTGCGTCACTAGACAAGCCCTCACATGGAACCCTCAAGGCAAAAGGAAAAGAGGAAGGCCAAGGAACACACTACGCCGAGAAATAGAGAAAGATATGAGAGAAATGAACAAACATTTGACAGAACTGGAGAGGGAAGCCCAGGACAGAGTTGGTTGGAGAAAACTGGTGTTTGGCCTATGCTCCATTGGGGGTTACAGGCGTAAGTAAGTAAGTAAAGTAACCAAGAGTTTATAACATATATAACTGAAGAAAATGTCCCTTTCTCTAGGCATTTGACACTACACACATTTTCGTATTGTGACCTAATAAAGAGTATATACATCTTAAAGCTACTTGATCATCAATCTTATGTAATCTAACACAGACTTTATGGACAACAGGCAACTGAGGTTGATAAATAGTATTGGTATCGAAATTGGGCTATATGGTGATTTCGTAATAGAAGTTTTAAAGGCAAAGATTTTATAACTATATGACCGGATATAACTAAGCTAATTTTAACATGTGACAAAACCCAATCAAATTTCCACCGAGCTATTTATGAACTGTATTCAATAGATTTCTCGCATTAGTCAAGACATCTATCAGCTTGCAAATAAAGCTTCCTCTCATTTAATTAACTCTAGCTGATGGGTCGCATTCCAGGATGAAACGGCCGTCTTTCAATGCTTCCAGGTTTCTAATGGTGGTCTAACAACGATTGACTGATTGATGATTTCAAATGTGTAAAAACACTAATCTACATAACTCTAATTGAAAATCTAGCTAAATAGTCAATTCGGATATGTATAATCATACCAACTAGTATTGATACTAATCGACTTTCATATCTTAAATATTCGTTGAGAAAATTTTCAAATTTATAATATATATATTAAATACTCTTGAAGTTTAAATAAAAAGTCAGCTGACTTATATTATTTTAAATAATCTACATTATTCCTGTCTGTAACTAATATATTAGTACTGCAATATCTTTTTACTTTGATCGTATGTTAAAATATTATTGGCTTGCAAAAGTTCAGACATACGTAAAGAATGAGTTTACAGCGATACAATCCATAGTCATCTGAACAACCTACACAGGTAGGCCAACTGATGTAAAATATCACTTATTGTTGCATTAACCGAATGATTTAAATATAGGAATGGTGGTAAGAATAATTTACATATAGTTCTCAAATCAACTTACAATGTTTCAAGGCTTTTTAATTTCGATAATCCAGATTCAATTGTAATAGATCTGATTAAATTATTTCTTAGATTTCTAAAAAAAGAAGGCAAACGATAAACGAAATGATCTTGATTAGAATTTATTTCGAATCCTTCAATTGCTACCCAGAATAGTTATTCAGCAGAATGTTATGAAGACTATAAGTAAAACTTTGTCCAGGATAAAAAGTTCGTCTTAATTTGAAATCGCTAATAAAAATCCTCGATAGCTTATCAAATGTTACTAGTAAAAAAGGTATTAGTGAGAGCCTACGTTGAATAAACATTCTTTTCACTTTAATCTAACTAAAATAAGTTGATTGGTTCACTGTCATGGAATAACAATGAACCTGATGTTTTTCACCTTCCTTACAAATTTCTACTATGTTGCTTCAAGTAGTAGCTTATTTATATATCTGAATGAGTTATTCTGTTTATGACTTGAGTTTGAACCATCGATCAGTGGACCTTTCAAAATCCATAAAAATACACAGTATCGAGTCACTTTATGAGGTGAAAACTTTTTGACACTTTTACAAGATGAATGCATACATTCCCGTCGCCAATTGTTACACTCGTTTCTAAGTATGCTTAAAACTATTACGGGTTCATCTTAGTCGAATAACGAGAACAAAACAATGAACCAGCGTACAGGTAGGCTACTCTGATCCCTTAACCCAAATTGTATCAGCGAGAAGTCTTGAAATAGCATAGGAAGTGTATTCTACAAACACGCAGCCAGCACTCAATGAATCCAAACACACAAATCGCGTTTATTTATACTCCATAGAGACATCCTTGAGACAATCACAAAACAAGACACTAAACGAACGAAGTAACCAATCATAGCCAATGAATCTCCTGGTTGGAAATGTGATCTCAAGGTCAACTGATCAGCCCATGAATCCAAAATACATTTATCAAGTGAGTTCTAGGGATCTAACATCTTATAACCTTTGATATATTCAAAAGTCATTGCCCGTAATAATTATGATAGACTAAAAAATTAACTAAAACTTCTTGCTTTGAATCTTCTAGAATCTGAACTCACAATTCTTTTGTATTTATTGGTAAATTATTGGGAATTTCTGTTAATTCCAGATTCGAACAGTCCACACTTAATCCATCAAGAATTGATCCAAATTCATCTGGTCTGAAAACAGCTTCAGAATTGGCATGCATTCTAGGCTTAAGAAGAATTTCTTTACATCTACAACCATCTGGACATTGATGATCCAGAAATTCACAACTGTGTTTCTCTTCTTCATGCGTGATTGTGCCTGAATTATTTTTGCATCAGGAAGAAAACAAATAGATAAATTATGTGAGAAATAGAAAATACTCATGGTTGTTTCGTCAGCTTAGCTCTATGCATCAATATTTTAAAGTCTTCTAGTAGAGAATCTAACAGTAAGGAACTCTACGTTCTTTTCTTATTCGAAATTCGAAAAACTAGTTCAATGATTGATAAATGTGGTAATAATATTTTATTTGAAACCATGAATCGATCAATGTTAGACCACCATTAGAAACCTGGAAGCACTGATAGACGGCCGTTTCGTCCTGGTATGGGACTCCTCAGCAGTGCGCATCCACGACTCCTGCACCTCGCAGGATTCGAAACCAGGACCTTCGGTATTGTAGGCGAACGCCTAACCATCGGACCACTGAGCCTGTATCTAACGGTGTTAATGTCTAACTTGATCAATTCACGGAGTTGCGCAACCTCATACACAGTCTTCGGTAGTTACTGTCTACACCCGAACAGGTTGAACTTCACTGGTCACGCCTCCCGCCAGAACTCGGAGATCCCTCCGGACATTCCTCGGGAATCCTCCTGAGGAGTCCCATACCAGGACGAAACGGCCGCCCAGTGCTTCCAGGTTTCTAATGGTGGTCTAACATTGATCGATTCATGGTTTCAAATAAAACTTAACAATCTTCACAGCAACCCCGTAATGCGTACTAATATTTAACAATCATTATAGAATACTGACTAATTCAGCCAAATTACAACAGTTAAAATGAATTGTAACAATAGATATTCATCAAGTCTGTAACAAAACTCTATTCTTGGAGTTCAAGCTATACCTATATATACTGTGAAAAGAAACTACGTTCAAGGAGCCATAGTTCCTTTCATATTCTTAAAAAAAAATTGTAAGAAGCACAGTTTATCAAATGTTCATTCTCGTTCTTAGTGAGAGACAAGTTTAAATGTTAATTTTGTAACTGAAATAATGTACATGCAATAAATAAAAAGTCTGTTTGATATGCGACAATTTGAAGTTTGGAGCCATTATTTTACTGTGAAAGGGTTCGTTGAGTCCATATTGTAATGTGTATAAATATCCCTATAGAAACTTTTGCGTCTAGCTCTAATTATAATTTCGTAACAAAAACTGACCAAGTCGTGTGCTTTTCACCTAAACATGAATAAAGTAGACATTCAATACTTTACCATGCATTAATTGAAAAAAAAAAATCAAGTTTATGACTAAATATCTGACACAGCTAATTAAAATACATAATAAAATAAATCAAACCATGTCTTGGTTTTAAATGTAGACCTGTAATGCATAAAATATTATTAATGCTTACAATTATAAAACAATGTTTTATAAACTGCTTGACTTTTTTTTCCTGAATTTCATGTGAAATAATCGACACATTTTTGAAAAAAATTTTAAGACCTTAAAAACACATCTAGAAAATGGATAAATCTGTATTAATTAGGTTTGCTAATTTCTTTCTGACAATTCCAAAATGTTCACATGCTCCTTAATGGAGTTCAGGAATATGTCAAAAATCTGGAATATATAGATTATGAACAGTAGCTTTCAGTTAATATCAAAACTATGATCTCAAATATGTAATGTTCTATTGAAAAGATGACTTTAGAAAATGAAATCAGAGGCAAAATCAGGTTGGAATAATCTGGAAAAGCGTGAAAAATTGAGGCCTATAACTTTCCCTTCCAGAAGCAGAAGAGCTTTATGAAACTATCCTAAAATTTACTACTTTCTTACGCCTATTAACCCCAATGGAGCATAGGCTGGTGACCAACATTCTAAAATTTCGTTCAATACAATTCATCTCTTACTTACTATACTTATCTGGTTGATGTTTTCAGCGAATATTTCTTTAGTTCCAGTTATCTAGCCCCCAACTTGAGTAAATTAGTTCCTTGTAAACGTAAGACTTTATAACTTAAGGAATCTCACATAACAGATTAATCTGACAATGTTTTAATGAGGGAATTCGAATATGAAACCATTCATTTTTGCTTTGGAAAATAAATTTCAGCATGCAGTGCCTCCACATATATTCCAGTTCGCTTACATCTAACTTGGTTAAGCCCTTTCGATTAATTTATTCAACCAAGCCATTTGTATTGCGACAACTTATATGTACCATTCGTTCTTATTATTGTCTGGTTTGTATTAGCTCACATGACGTGTCGCACTTGTCATTTGACCTTGTCAACTATTCAACGCTTTTATTCATATGTGCCTATTTCGCTTGTCGCATGTCTGTCATATTTGTCTGACTATATATTCTTAGTCACGCTCTATTTCTTTGAGTTGGCTCATTAGCCTTCTCCAATTCGCGTCGCTTCATTCGTTTCATTCACTGCTTCTCCGGTTCGCTTTGTGGTGTGTCCTAAATAAACATATTCAACACTACGAGTTCACCTACTGATTTATAACCGTCAGACGCCATTTAGTAACGAATGCCTAGACGAGCTAATTACCGAGCTTAAGAACACGCAGTAAATCGGCACACTACGAGCATTACAATATGTTTCTATTAATTATTCAAAATAAATATACTGAGTAATTTATCTGGTAAATTACTTACTTGGACAATTCAATATATGAGGTAATAATTCTCGTACATGACGACCTTGAACATTGATTGGTTCTGCACATCTAGCCCATTGTGTACCACCAGCTTCTTTTTCAATAAGAAAAGCTGGTAACCAAGCTGCTAACTGACAATCACATATAAGTGGATTGTGAACTAAATATCTTTTATAGTTAGAAAAGTGTGAAAACAGAACATATTTTATATTGAAATATCTTAAAAAGCAAACATTTATTACAAACACTTTTAATCTAAGTAAATTATATACTCCTCATAAACGTTAAGCACCATGATTGAGTTACAATTGAATAATGTTTTCAAAATTATTTGTTTGACCACATCATTTATTTGAAAAAAAAATTGCATTAGTCATGTAAAAACGACAAAAATTGGGAAGTCATGATTGCATTTTGTACAGTTACTATCAGTAGTTTGTTAAATTTTATTGAACCTTCCCTCCATCAAACAGCAAACTATAGTCAGAATATGATCAAGTGTTATTTTGACATAAACATCAAAGAATAATCATCACTCTCCCGAAATGCTTCGTGGTATAAAACAGAAACAATAAGATAAAACTACATGATTAACTTTGCTTTGTGGAATAGGGTTTTTCTATCTGTTTTAAATTTACCGACGAGAAATAACTTTACTAATCTGTATTCTCATGAGCATCACGAGTGTAGTTTTATTCAAATAGGCTATTTTGAAACCATGAATCGATCAATGTTAGACCATCATTAGAAACCTGGAGGCACTGGACGGCCATTTCGTCCTGGTATGGGACTCAGCAGTGCGCATCCACGACTCCTGCACCCCGCATGATTCGAACCTAGGACCTTCGGTATTGTAGGCGAACGCTTAACGATCGAACCACTGAGCCGGTATCTAACGGTGTTAATGTCTAACTTGATCAATTCACTAATTAATTTAAACCTCGATAACTTGAAACTATTTTGTGAGGAATACAGTGATCATAGTCTATAAAGTAAACACAGATCTATTAACTTACGTTTCTATGCATCAAAATAGGTGAGAAAAGAAGTTACTTCACTTATTTGAAAAATTATTCAACCACTTACAGTCATATATACACTATTTACACAAAAATTTATAAAGTGTATTTTATAGGAAAAAAAAATTGTATAAAAAACTTAATATTTCAAGGAAATTGGATCACTTACAAATACTTCAATCGACGTAGGTCCTCAAAACTATTTCTTGGGAATGTTTGTATACGATTATTTGATAAATGTCTAAAATTAAGGGATTCAATTAAATATCCAAGAATAAATTTTGATCGAGTTGTAAACATATCCAAGTATTTTGCAATAAAATATGAATAAATTTACCATGAAATTATATTTTTCATAGTCTGTAATTAATTATAGGTTTGAAAAAGCTAGAAGAACTAACTTGAATGAAAATTCTCTAAAGTTATCACCAGCATATTACTTGTGGTGCACAATGCACAACCCCTAAAGCAAAACTATATTCCTTTTTTATTGGCTAGAATCATTGATTTGGGATATAAGTAATATATCTGCATTACACTGTATTCTGGTTACATGTGAGAAATGACTATTCATAAATTTTGATAAAGTAATATGTATGATAACTCCGCCAGTAGAACCTTCGGGGCTACTGCCGGTCCCAAGCCCGGATGAATGAGGAGGGTTAGGCATGGGGTTGACGACCTCATCCCGTCAAAAACTAACTTGCCAAAAAATGCTAACCAGTAATATGCATGATTAATAGGATATAAATTCCCGAATAGCTGTATACTAATCATCTAAATATTATCTATCTAGGTTTTAGATTTAGTGTAATAAACGGATTGTTTATTATCCCAATTTATACATAATACATAATCTAATATGTTTCCTACCTGGTCCACGAGACGAAACTCATCAAAGGTTAGAGACCTTGAACAACATGGCCCAAAATTGTTTGCAATGGCTCAGGTGCATCCACTCTTTGTGTTCTCTGAAATTCTAATCCTCAGAATTCCTCATTATCTCTATCCTTCTCTTTCTATAGTTATCTCACTGAACTATACTTCTTGAATAATATATTCGATCCCTAATATTCTCCTTTACCGACTATTCTTCTACTATCTCTACTACTGTGGGATTTGAAGTTACAGTTGCGTCTCTGTGCTAATGTGGTATGGCATGTACTTACGTACGAAGTTGTGACTGACTGACTGACTGTTTCCAATCACTTACACTAGTCATCATAAAAAGTATGAATTTTCATTGAAACATATAATTTACAAAACATATTATTATTATATAAACTGAGAAGAATCTATTTTTGTTGAAACATTTGACTTCAGGATTGCATAATTCAGTACAAGAAATTCAGTAGATTCTTTACCCCAGTACTTTTTCACTGTCTACCTAGTTCTATAGATTTGTAGTCTGAAAGAATTTAACATTCACTCTGGATTGATCATGTATGAACAACGTAAGTTGTATTTCGCAATAGATATGAAAGTTAACGAACATTCAGAATGAAGCCATTGCCTATCATTTTTCATTTAACTATGTTCAATATCTATTTATTAAATCAAATAGTTGTTCTCAAAAACTAACTAAACTAGTACAGCACCTTATATGTAGAGCTTGAAATTATTCAAATTATCTAGGAAAAATATGACTGATATAGATAAATGAAGCCCTATAGTTTATGAAATGTTGACATGTATGGTACACTAGGATTTCTAGACCCCATCCAGTTGCTTTATGCAAAAAATAATTCACAAAATGATTTGCCAACCAGTGACTTCTGATATTAATTAAATAATCAACGTACAAGATTTGTAAATGCTCCAGACCTGCAAATGATCCTCTTTGTATGCAAGAGATTTTATTTCGATGCAAATATCTAAAATTATAAGCGATATGCAAAGAAATAATGAAAGCCTTAAAAAAAAGTAGTACCAGATATAAATAACCATAGAAAAGTGCTATCTATAAATTCCTGTCATTGGTGTTTATCATCAAGGCAGTATTACAATTCACAGTGTTTTGTACCAATAATTATATGCTTCTATCAAAATTTAAGCTACTAAGTATGAAGAATTAAAAAATGAAAGTAGTGCAGAAATTCCAAGTCCTATCGGTGATATCTTTCTTGCGAATATGCTATAGCATATATGTATAATTTTACACTGATTATTATCACTTTTCAAAATGATTCATTTTTCATGCATTATGATCATAGATGGTCATAATGTTAACGCAAATCCATTTGTTTGACCCGTATTCTTGAATACTTCATCTTTCTTATGACAGAACTCACTCGGAACAGGTCCTTATTTTGTAATTTTATTTTGGAATTTAGAATTTCCATGTTTTCACTGCAGTCGACCTAGAAGCTCACATTTCTCCCCATCGGAAAATCCTTGACTGTCATTGGTTGATGGATTATTTTAGTACGCTATTTTTTTGGCTCTCACTAAGGGTGGTTATTCATGGTATAAATAAGCTTAGGTTGTGTGCTTGTCGACCTCGTACTTTCTGCTTGCCTGTAGAATACATTTCTCTACGTCTTATCAAGACTTCTTCCTCTAGTTAGTGGGGCCTGGGACGATCGGATTAGAATAGCCTATCGTGTCGCTGAATCATTGATTTTCGTTCCGTTCACTGAGTAAGGTGAACCCGTAATAGCTGCAAGCATATCACATTGACACTATTTTGGTTACTTGATCTTTTTGTTTTGATTCGGTAAAAGTAACTTGAGGTAACATTCAATTTTCCTTGACTCTACACTGATTATGACTGGCCTAATGCCAATTACTGTACAAACAACAGATACGTTAGTCAATGCATCTGTTTTGGTTCTCATCTACAAACTATTGATCTAAACTCTAAGGAGAGAAGAGACAAGCCATACTTAAGCCAATGTATCACATTTTCATAGTTGGCGGGGTTGGATAAATTCTAGCAACCGATTAGGATTGTAATAATAAAGTAATACAAACGAAGTAGTTCAAGTGTGTATCAAGTTGTTGATAGGATGCTGCAAAATTGCAGCTGCATTTCAAGTAGGTGAGAACAAAAAGTGAGTACACTATTCGTCAACCCATCAAGTTTGATGAAACATCTAGCATAAGTCTTTTGAAGTTGGATGAAGAAACTGTTATTGTTTGAAGCTTATTTTTAGATGAAAGAAGCGAACAACTTTAACTGGTACAATTTAAATTAGATGTAGTATGATATATTTAATATTAACGGCCTTATTCAATATTATATGTTTAGCGGAATTTGGAACTCTCAGCATAAAGTAGTCCAAAAAGTTTCTTCTAACAAAATCAAAGCAATAATCAATTAAACCACAAATATATACAGAAAGATGTCATTAAACTATCTGGTATTTAAATGAAATGTTGTTTAGTAAAATGAAAACCTAAATAGGCTTTTAATAACAACGTGTTAAAGTAAACAAGTTTATGGTTGAGTCAGCTCTTACAGACAGTTTGTTGCCTTCTGCCAAATCCGTCTCTTGTTCTTTTCTAAAGAAGTAAGAATGCAACCTGTTGGTTATTGAGGTATTACTAGGTTAGGATGGCAGACCAATAGATGAAGTAGTGAAACTTCATCAGTTGAGGTGGTTGGGACATGTGTTACGAATGCCTAACCACCGACTGCCTCGTCAGGCTATGTCTTTTGGTATAGAAGAAAGTTGGAAGAAAGCTACGGGTGGCCAGAACAAAAAATGGCAGAAATTCATGTAGTGAGTGACAATTGGACTGAGTCATGTTGATAGGTGTCTACTACCTGGTTCGGTACCGCGAGACGCTAGTCACCGATGGTTAGAGACCCTGAATGACATGGCTCAGGATCGTTTGCAGTGGCACATGAAGATTCATTCTTTGTGTTCTCCCAATTCGTAACTTTATGAATTCCTCATCAACTTTTTCCTTTTTAAGTTTATTTCACTACATTCTACTTCTTGAATAATATCTTGTAACCCTAATCTCTCCGATTACTGCTGATACTTCTACTATCTCTACTAATGTGGGATTTGAATTAACAATTGTGTCTCTGTGCTAATGTGGTATGACAACTTGAACTGATGTACGTACGTAAGTACACAGTTCTACGTTGTAACTGACCGATTGACTTACTGAGCTGTCGGTGTAGTACTGGCTATTGTCTAGAGTCACTGACAGGAGTGAAACCTAGGAATGCAGATAGAACATACTTCATACACTTTTCCAAGCTACTGCACATAACAACTTGTCAAAAACTTCAGGTTAACGATAAGAGTTCTATTAATCAGTTTCTACTTCTAGTTTTAACAAACAGTTAATAAAGGAAATATTTGTTGAATTAACTTACAATATTTTCAGATTGGAAAGTTGGGAAAATAAATTCGATGGAAGTAAGCCTAGTTCATTGGAGCTCATGTACCTAATAAAATTTAAAAAAAAAAATAGTTAAAAATCACTCAAAGAAAACCCATAAATTATGTAGAATTTACTATAACTTCTAATCTTGAAAATACATCGTTTTTTTAAGCATTAGAATGGGTAAAAATAAAGATTTTAGATAAGATCGTATTCGTCTGTTATCTAAATCTGTTTGAAAATCGTAATGAAAAATAGCTAGAATCAAACCAAGCAACCATGTGGCATAAATCACTAAAGTACCTAGTAGATGAATAATAAGATTTGCAGATATCGAAACAACCGGGCTGATGGTTTACGAAGCATCTTTTATCAAGTGAGTTTATAGTGTGGATTGAACATATTTAACAATAAAAGTGTATTCGTGAGTTTAAAATATTGCATGGTGTTTAATTTTCCAGTGAAGCTCAATTATTCCTCATCACAAAACTTTGGTGTTTATGTAATAGTGATGCATTAAATGGGGCCACTTTCCTACCTTTATATACTAAAGCAATTGTCAATAAACTTCATTTCTATTTCATTTTAATGTATCCATATATTTTTTGGGGACGTTAGATCCCCAGAACTCGATTAATAAATGCCTTATTTTGGATTTCACGTTCGCGAGCATGGACTGATCAGTTGACCTTGAGATCGCATTTTCCACCAAGAAAATCCTTTTCTGTGATTGGTTGCTGTGTATTTTATTGTGATATTTTTGTGACTGTCTTAAGGACATTTCTTTGATGTTATAAATAAACGAGATTTGTGTGCTTGAGATCATTGTGCTTGCCGGGTGTTTTGTAGAATATACTTTCTAGGTTATGTAAAGACTTTTCTTTAGCCGTTTCGGATCAAGGTAGCCTACCTGGACGCTAGTTCATTGTCTGTTTCGCGTTTATCGACAAAGATAAACCTGTAATAGTTTCAAGCATACTTAGTGATGAACCTAACAATATTCCCTTAACGGTATTGACTTTTTCACTGATTTTCTTAATCTTGAAGCTTGCTGATTACGATACTGTACACAATTTCTTTCATTAATTGCATAAATGCACATTTACTGACAAGAACGAATCAAATGGATATGACTTAAAATTCGCAAACAATATTCAACACTTTGTTCAAGCCAATGCTCTACTCTTGGTGTGGAGTTTCTGTCACGTCATAATAATTCATATTTTAAGCAAGTTAGGAAAATACACGAATTTAGAGTAGGACAGTTTAGTGTTGTTTACGTCATGTTGATCTATGATTTTAGTTGCTCATTGCCTGAGCTGGTCAATTCAAAATGTAAGAGGAATCTTACTTTTCGTATCATCTTTATGTCCACTATTTGAATAACATCTTGACCAACTGATGTCATTCCAATTTTTATTATTTAAAACCTGTTGGGGACGTCAGATCCCCAGAATCGTTTGATAAATGCCCTAAATTTGGATTTCACGTTTGAGAGCATGGTCTGATCAGTTGATCTTGAAATTTCATTTCTCACCAGGAACACCCTCGGCTGTGATTGGTTGCTGTGTATTTTGGTGTGCTATTTTTGTGTCTGTCTCAAGGACGTTTCTATGATGTATTAATAAACGAGATTTGTGTACTTGATTTTATTGTGATTGCTGGGTGTTGTAGAATATACATTCTACGCTATATCAAGACTTTTGGCTAGTCATCGGAATCAGGATAGCCTACCTGGACGTTAGTTCATTGTCTTGTTCTCGTTTGTCGACTAAGGTGAACATGTAATAGTTCCAAGCATACCTAATGACCACTTTAACAAAAGCACATCAAGATTATAGAATCCTGACTCAGTGGCTCAAAGTTGTTTTCTTGTCTAAATATACTCAAAAATTATAGATCTTACTCAAAGACAAGTTGTCAGTGGATGTTCACTTAATTTCATATTTAATCAAACAGTTGTTTACCGTCCACTCAGTCAATGTGTTAAACGATTTTTCAGTTGACTTTAATTCATCATACAAATATTATTAGTCAGTCTTCTTTTGTTAGTCTCAGTCGAAAAAATAATCAATAGTAAATAATCCTTGTATAGAAAAAAAAATAAATTAATCACTTACAATGATGACAGTTCTCGAAGATTATTGAATGCTTGTGGATGAATAAATGATATTCGATTGTTGTCTAAAACACTACAATATGTTAAAATTTTAAAGAGTTAATGATTGCATTTAGTTTGTGTACTAGACTGACTTTAAAATGTTTACAATGTAAAAATTTCATATGATAAATTAGTAAGTAAATAGTCTACCATTTTAAAATGAATAATTCAACAACATGAGGCGTCTGAACAAAGAAACTGATGTGAATATATGAACACTATGAAGAATGAACAGTTAGTTAGTTAGTTTTGGTGATGAAATATTACTACATAAATATAAATAAATCATTTTTATTAATGAATATTATTGAGTGCATCTATATATATATTGAACGAATGAATTATGACGGAGGAGGATAAGTAAAAACACGGCCAGTTAACTAAGTAAATAACATTCTGGAACGTAGTCATAAGAGTAAAACAATGTTTAGTTTTTTAAAAAAAAAGGGAAGAAAAAAATACACAGAAATGACCAACAAACCATCTAGTGAAACATTTAATGATTTATTATTTTGAAATTTTTTGAATCAGGGAAAGATTTTTTTCAAAAAAACGCCATAACAAATAAATATTCATTTAAACAACAATAAATTAAAAAAAAACAAACTAATCGACAAATTAATCAAAAGATCATGAAATACAAAGAGGATCGAAACAATGCATACTTTATCAATTTTTAATTGCATTTATGCGAAAAGACAAAAGATATGTTCATTTATATCCAAGAAAATTTATTCGTATCTATAAGCTATGATTCATGCACGTTATAAAGTTACACATTTTTGAAACCATGAACCGATCAATGTTAGACCACCATTAGAAACCTGGAAGCACTGAAAGACGGCCGTTTCGTCCTGGTATGGGACTCACCAGCAGTGCGCATCCACGACTCCTGCACCCCACAGGATTCGAACCCAGAACCTTCGGTATTGTGTTTCAAAAATGTGTAACTTAACAATCTTCACAACCCCGTTATAAAGTTGTTGAAAGGATCGATTTCGAAATGATCTAAACTAAGTGTCGTACAGTAAATCCTGGGCTTACTTTAGTTACAGAAATTAGTAAAATGTTAATTTCTCTAACTAAATTGTCTTATACTGAATTACGCTGTTTTTGCATGAAATTCTCCACTGTCTAATACAATTTTTTTTACCACAATTATCATTGAAAATTATATGCTCACTAATTGATCTAAAAACCTGTTCATGTTTAAAACACTTCAATAAAATGAATAATAACTAGTTACTCGGAAATCGCAATAGGCTATTTAAGTAATGAGAATAATTTTTACTGACACAACATGTTCCTCACACACTTGGTCTGTAGTTCAGCTTCTGTAGTGATTTCACTTGTACGAAAAAAACACGACTGGTTAAGAAGAAACATTCATTGTAATAACCGATTGCACTAATGGACGTTTCACCGAACATTTCGCTGATTCGTACTTGTGTACTGTTACGAATACGCGTAAACATGTCAATTTGAGATGCTTGAACTGTTACGAGTTCACCTTAGTCGGAAAACGAGAGCGAGGATAGAGGATCCGGCGACATGACATGCTACTCTAATCCGAGTGTACCAATCCCGATTGTATAAAAGAAGAAGACTTGATATGAAGTAGAACCCGTATCCTACAGACATTCAGAAAGTACGAAGTCCAAGTTAGGAAGAAAGCAAGGATTGGGGACTGAGAATCTGGGTCCGGGTCCGAGTTATAAAACGTTACAGATAATGCTTATTTATACATTTAGGTCGAATAAGAAACAGCATCGAAGTCTGTGATATTGACACTTAAGGCGACCAATAGTAAAAAATTTGAAGTGACCAATAAGAAACAACATTGAAGTACGTGACACTGATAGCTAGAACGACCATAATATTGACCAATAGAAAGCGACCAACAGAATTTAAAATTACAAAATGATCTTAGTAGGATATTTGGTACGGTCGCCATCTTGCTTTTGCTGCTCTGTACCTTCCGTCCTTTTTCTCTGGCACGATTCTTTTGATACCACGAATTGGCCAGCGAATATACTCATTTACCTGGACTATCCCTTCTTCCTTGTTAATGAATCACGATGGGATAAAGCGTAAAGACTGTAATGTAATTGGTTTTTAGAATTGTTCACAGTTAGCCTTCGACTCAAACCCCTTCACTTCATGCAAATAATGTTGTCATGTATGGAAATTCAAAAGTTACTTTGTCAGGAGTAACAATGGTAACAGTGTTAGCTATTCATTTTACATTAGATTCTCACGTATCATCCAAAAATCTACATACCTATGTATCTTCGACAATAAACATAAACTTTTTCTCACTGAATAGAAGTGCATTTTACATTAGGTGATTTATGTTTGCAATCAATTTGTTTATACGATGTGTTCAACATCTTTAAACTTACATTTTTCGTAGATTTTTATAATTAACAAATGCATTTTGTGGAAGAGAAACCAATTCATTATGATTCATATTTCTAAAATTCAAAGAATAAAACATACGTACATAGAATGAGTACATGTTGTTTGTAAATTTATAGACATTTTAAACTGAATCAGCTAACAGTTTATTTTCGGTTTTAAACTTTTTACAGGCCTGAAAAATAAATTAACCATTTCAACAGCAATTACTATTATTATCTTATTTAACCAGCTTTTAGGCGAAGCTCTTGAAAAACGTTTTAATAATCAGTCTTAATTATAGATAAACAAATAATAAATCTGGCAATACATTTTTGTGATGAGTAGTATAGATCTCTGTTTACAGCATTCATAAACATATCCATCCATTTTCATCATGAAGACTGAAAACTACTGTTAACAGACAGCTAATAAAAATAGTCCTAGATACCTTGTAGGTAAACAGTTTTACTTATACAACTTATAGATAATCTAAGTGCGTGTGTGAATTGTTAAACTAGTCAATAAAGTTAGCATTCATTTGGGTAATTCATTCCAGTGTACTTTTTAGTTGCAGTCAATTAGTTATTACAATGTACTGGAATCATTCCAGCAGTTAACGCTAAAAAATTCTTAAATTGCCTGATTATTCGAAATTGTATGATACATAACATAAACTGTCTTAGCGCATCCTAAGAAACTAAAAATCATCCCAATTTAAGCTCATGTGGAACTCAAATGAGATGCAATTGAAAGAAACAGTGTCTTTTGTTGCGGCCAGTATAAATTCAGGAAAAAAATAGGTTAGCGAAAATGTACTGTTATGAATTTTCGTTGAGTTACGATAACGCAGATTTTACAGTGAATATGAAGGGTATTTCTATCATCTTAATAAGTGATTCACTGGTTTACAGTTCAGTTATTTACTAGTTGCTTACGGTGAATAAGAAACAAAGTCAAAAATGGTTTCTTTTTTTTAATTAACAGGTTGACTATTATTTACCGAATAACATAAAACATTTTGTAAACCAAGGAATTTTTTCAGGAAAACACGTAACTGCAACCTCAAAATCTAATTCAATAAATCTGTTTATCATTTGAGTGAAACCATAACTTGATCGCTGTTTGCAAACTTAATGATATCGTTTCTTTTTAAAAGTAACATCACAAAGTTCACAGCTGTCTAGAGTAAATTTCGTTTCAGAGATTTGGAGTATTTGACCTAAATATCATCTTACTTCTAAATTTATTATAACATATATCAAAGGAAAATATCAAACAATTTTTACTGACATTGTACGATAAATTATAGAATCGAAATTGATATTAGCCTAATGATCAATAGTCTGCTCACACAAATTCATTGGTTTTTACATTACTGAACTACATAGTTCATTGTTTCATAATTAATCCGAACTAGGAAAGATTATTAATTTGCTGAAAAATGTTACTGATGACATTATCGATAAAGATTTAGATAATAATTTCTTTTAAGAAGTATTTACATTGTGCTTAAATTTCAGATGACATATCAAAAGAGGAGAGTCTCTTAAAAATTATCTTTCGTTTTTCAATCACTGATACTTCATTTCAAATATTCGGATGTTTATTATTTTATATTCCTTTCAGATAATAGGTAAAAGTTAAGTTACTCGATCAAAGCAGCAATACATCAAGATAAAAGTATTCACTGTAAGTCATATTCACTTGGCTAAGTTTGATGCATTTTAACGGCGATGCATAAGAAGGGAGATATAAGCAACCCTGCTTGCTTGTTTTCAATAATTTCGTACCTTTAGTTTTGCCTGTAGATGAAATCACAAGTGATATCGAAGTGCTACCATTTGGTTGATGAGATTATTTCTTATATTTCGGATTATTCACGTGAATTATTAGATTAAACTAACATACAGATGAAATTTTACACATGAATCATAGTTAGGATTCATTAGGATTGATTCCTTAAGTCGGATACTTTCATTGCTGTTCTATTCTCCATCGAATTCTGATTTGAAAATTGAGTCACTCAGGGAAACGATTCATTTTATCCTCAAAATCGCAATAAATTTCTATTAATGTAAATATATTGACGTCAGATATGTTAGATTACTATTTAGTAGTAGTTTACTAGTAATCCTGAGTAGATTGCAATCAAAATATTTCTATTTTTAAATATTTTATGGTACATTCAATAATTCATACTACTGAAATATGAAGACCTCAAAAAAAACATTTATCTGAGCATATACATTTTGAAATTCGATATTGTTCTATTTTTACATTTACTTTTAGGTTGAATCAGTTCTCTGATGTATTTGATTGTCATCATGTGACTTATGATTCGTCCAATAAACATTTATTTTAATTTTTATAATTTGTTGTTATAAAAATGCATTTTTTTCGGTCATAAGTGAATGTGTATTCACCTCATTATTTCTAAACTGAAATCTAGTAGAACATATTTCAAAACAGTAGTGAATTTCACTCATTTTCTAGAAGACTTATAACGTTGATGAAACATCGGTTAGCAAAATCATGTTCCATAATCTCATCAGTTAATTAGCCAATGTGATTTTACCTACAACATACAGTTTAGCTATGCACAAAATTAATATTAAACAGGAAAATATATGAATGATTTTTACAAAGGTCAACACATAATGTTGACTACCATGATGACATGCATTAAATCTGGAGTGAAATCAACTGGAGGACAATCGAACAATTTGAAGCTGTAAACAGCCGTATATTGTAATTCTTTAGCAATGAACAGTGACGAATGCACTAAGAACAAAACATAGATAGTTTGGGTTCTATTTTTTTCGCGACTTTGCCCAACCAATAAATAAGTGTAAACTCTGCCGCGAGATTTGAAGAATGTGTAATGATATAAAATCTTCACATTCTGAATACTTATCTGGCTACCTGTTGACGGGTAAACAAATATTCACATAAATAGTAGTATACAATTAATAATAAGAAAAACGCCTAGTGGTAGCAAATAAGAAATCATGTTTAAATTTTCTGAAAACTAAACAATAATAATGAAATTCACTTACAATTCCATGATATCTTTTGGTAGATCACTTGGTATAATTTTTAATCCACGACCTTGACAATTAGCAACACCTTCAGTTGAACAGTCACAAATTCCATCACATGAAGATCTAGTTATCAATGATCTACACTGTTGCGATGGTTTCAACACTAGATATGAGTCAGCTGACAGAAAGTATTTTTTTAAAAAACGAAATGCAAAGTATTACGTTGTCTTTATTCCACCAAAGATCTAATTAAAATGCGAAAAATATCCGCTGGGATCTAGATTTTACTAACTGATTAATTAACATAAAAGATATTACCCGTGAACCTGTTAATCAACTAAAATTTATTTGACAAATGCACTCAAAACTCTATATGTTTGCTAAGAATTGCTAACTTAAAAATTCCAATTCCGTCAATGCAAGCCAGCACAGTTAAGTATATATCTACCATACTAGACTTTTGAGTTAAGCATATTTCAAAAGATCAGTTATTTTCGGGTGTCATTTGAAAGCATAGTTGTGTAACAATATGACTTTTAATTATATGTCAGTTAAACAGCCCATTCATTATTATTTACAATAATAGGAAAAATATAATATTAATGGAGTGTGTTCCATGAATACGTTATTAGAGTTTGAAATTACTATCAACTCACTTTGTTATTATTCTAAAAAAGTTTCTAAAAGGTGAAAGGGATATATTTTCTTCAGAATGCAAAACATTCTAAACTGAATGAAATCATATCCATAGGATGAGTTCATTTAACGGAGAGGAGTAATGGTATTCACGCATAAAATGTAACAGGCAACAGCACGTTAGTTCCTCGTGGACGTATTAAAAATTCTTCAGTTTCATGTAATCACACCGTTGAGTAACTCTAGTTGAGATTAAACTTTGACATTTATCAATCAACAGTTTCACTTTACACAATCAAATACTGTGACATCATTTGATTTCAAGTATTGGGTAACTACAGTAACTGACAGTCTTAAACGATTACGAACATTTCATTAGCAACGATGACATAATCAATAAACTAAGATTTCACAAAAATTTAGCAGTGTGAAGAATTCAAGAAATCAAGAACTATAATTTTGCTGTTTTCTTCCGAAAGTGGGTTAAAGAACAAACGTTAGAACTGCATTTGCTTTCACTTTGTCCGATCCTAATGAATTCGGTAAATCATAAAAAGCATGGCTGTGTAGATAGTGTCAGGAAGCGTAAAGTGAAGCTGCTGTCTAACTCTAATCAAAGTTAACTGAAATAATCTTTAAGTGAGATGAAGCCAAGACCACTTCGTGAATGGATTTTATAGTTATTTTCTTCACCCACTAGTCCAAGAGCACAAGGTTTGATAATTCAAAATATTCCAAACTCCAGGTATAGTTCCCATACTAATCATAAACACTAAAATGTACATTAATGATAAATCTTCATTATGGTCAGCTTTGCTAGTTAGTTCCAGTTAATATCAATATCAGTTGAGCATTGTCCATGGAGCCAATATTAGTCATAGCTGACTAACCGATTAGCTGATATCAATGACTGTAATTTCTCGTGTACATAAGTTATAAAACCAAATTTTCTTATAACAGAATTACTTACCAGGGCATTGCAGTGTTTGATAGACATGTTCACTTAATGTAGATCCATGCAAACTTGGATCTGTACTCAGTGAAGAACAAACTGCTCCAGATCTCTGTAGTATAGCCAAACGATTGGTCTCAATAAACTCCTTTATAAACGGTTGAATATGACAATCACATTGTAATGGGTTTTCTTTTAAATCACTAAATATAAAACATGAGCCGAAATAACAGTAAAATCATATTTGTGTATGCATTATTACATAATGGATGATAAATAATTTGAGTAAATAATTAAAAATACAGATGTATGAAATAACAATTCATCACGTTTCATAAAAAAGGTAACAGACTAACTTCTATACATAAATGATTAGGACATTCCATACTATCCATTTTTTTCAAATCCTTATTAAAACAGTTTTGTTCATCAGCTTACTCGATGTCTCCAAAAGCCGTTGTTAGTTGGATGCACAACATCTACTATGTTCAAATAACCTAAGATATTATAAGCTCGACCCAGCTGAAAAGATCCATCTGCATGTTCGGTTAGTGAAAAAGATCTTCAAGTTGAAGATCACTCCATGAACAGTGGAATATCTACTGGCCAATCTTCGAAAAAAAAGAGAAATGGATATTCTTGACGATTTACGCTTCTTGTATTTGTCACGCTGAACAGTTTTACCAAATCAACTACTTCTCATCGAGTTGTATTCAAGGCCTTATTCGAATTAATTTTTACACCAAGGATTCATAATGAAATAACGGTCAGTTTTATGCGCAATATGAGTACTTGTTTATTCACTCAATCATACAGTACTCTTTTGTGAATAAAGTATCAAACAGAGAGTGGTTCTCAGCAGCCAACTGAATGCAGCGTTTTAGAAGTTCTTCGAGTGTTATTTCTTAATTAGCTACAGATTCATCTAAATATTTCCTCAATATAGAGTAATAACAAAGAGTTCCTGAAGAATAACCTAAATGAGCTGCGATCTGCGGAGTTTGAATTATGTCGAATGTGAGTCAGTTACCTGTCACAGGTAATGGATGAAAGTTACGCAAGATCATGGATTGGTTGAAGTTAGTCATTAGTAATGTTGGATGTTGGTTTAGTAGTCTAGAGGTTATCCATTCACAAGTGAAAGCGTGCGGCGTCGTGGATTCATGCTAATGAAGATACCCTTATTCAGCATGAAACGGCCGTCCAACACTTTTAGGTATTCAATGATAGTCCAGTTACGATTTCAACTGGGATAATTAACTAAAAATCTCAATGTTTTATGACAAATTGTTCAAATTGAATAAAAACTGGTAATTTACTATGAACTCACATGTGTCGAAGTAATTTCAAATCAGAAATTAATGATCCAGGCAACCATTTTAGATTATTTTTGGCGAGGAGACTATTATTAAAGGCAAATTACAAAAACAAACGAGTTTAAGTTAAGGTAGAATTATTGTAATTGTAGTATGTGTACAAAATAAAGGGAAGAGATTTAATTAGAGCCTAAACTATTTATCATGAATGTCATTTTCTCTTTTCTAATACACTATTATCTAAAATAATGCTGAAATAACTAGAAAATACAACTACAAGTAAAGTAATATTGGAAATTCCGAAAGAACCTTTTTTGTCAAGAAAAAATCCACAAACTCTTTCGAGTAATTGTCACATAAACAATCATACTTTTGCGATTTACCGTTTACTAAAACAAAAATCTTATAAATTAGCTATACTATACTTTTTACAGCTAAATACTAGTTTATATAATCTGAAATAAATATAATACAGAATGTCATTTACGAGGTGTTTAATTTTGCTTCTATGTATTTTAATCTGTAAAACAGATAACTGTTGTATAATCGAATGTCAGAATTTTCAAGTATCAAAATGAAGTTGTCTCATTTCATAGTGGCGCAAATAATTCAGTCCATAGACTGAGAACAAAGTACCAATAATCTTTTCAACATTACCACTTTTCGGTATAAATGAGAAAATCATAAACTTCTTCATTGTATACGCCTTTACTAACCACTCGGTTGGAAGGATAATCATTTTTGTCTAGATTATTTCGAACAAGTATAAATATTATTTTTCTCATAGCGTCACTAGTATCCTATTTCATATTGATTGTTGTTATTATCAGTCTTGTTTTACACATAATACTCCTCCGACTAGTGAACACATTCTCATGATCATATTATAATTGGTATAAATAGGCATGTATTATGTTTCCATTAACTGTAGCGGTTCAAGTAACCTGAATAGATGGATTTACATTAGGAATTTTAGAGCCTGATGAGAAATCAGCTAAACTACATAGATTATTTGTGCCTTGTGGACAGTTAGATCTTATGTCTTAAGCAATAACTTTGGAAATGTTCTGTTAAATTAGTACGAGCAATATATTTCAACACTCTTGTACATGGGTGAGTGAATAATATTTAGTGAACAGTCAGCTACTTAAAATGACTGCTCATCAAGTGTTGACGAATTGATATGTCTGTCTTGTTTTTAGTACTGGTGGATATCTTTTGACCTAGTCAAATAACTCAACATCGCATGTACTATTTTGAGCTACTATATGGTTGGAGTTCGTTTATAGAGAAGCTTGTTCGACTACAGTTTCATTCTTATTGATTCTTGTCACCAAAGTGTATCTGCAATTTTGAATGGAGGACTACAACTCCAGCTGGCATTAAACGTTTAAGCCACTTGGTCAAGACAAAACCCAACTTTAACCACTTAACCACTGTTCAATATTCCAACGTTTATAATATTCATCTAGTTAACGTTAGAATGTACTAGAATCCAATATAATTATGAACAATTCCTATAAATATCCAACTTCAAAACTAAATATGCGTTGATAGAACCAACTGTTAAGCTTCTAGTTAATTAGAATGCCAATAACTCTAAAGTTTTTGACAAGCCTAGATATGAATATTTGATAACAAAACTTAGTTGACTTACATGAAACGTAATTCAGTTAAACCAGAAAATAGAGAACCTGGCAGACAAATCAATTTGTTATCTTGTAAATCTCTAAAAAAATATAAAGTATATCAATCAAAAGAAATTATTAGTTTGCCAATGAATTTTGTGTTTGTAAAATAAGTGCAAAAATCGATACAATATTCAATAACTATATGAGTCTTATAATCTATTCCTATTTTTGAATTCATCTTGGATTTTCGTTATCACCGGTAAGTAAACTTTATCCAACCACGACAAACAGCTTACTGTTGGGGGTATATTTAGACCATTTTCACATGGTGAGCAAATAAAACACCTACTACCAGTAAGAATTCAATTTAGGTTACGTGGTTATTTGTTTAACATTCATGGTGAAGCTTTCAAGTAACGTAAATCGTTTTAAAATAATCTCATAGGCATAACTTAATTGTCACTAGACTATTGAACTTTATTTATAAAGACAACAGATTATACAAATATATTAGCCAGCTATTTTTAAGAAATGTGAAATAAGAATTTGGATATTAAAATACGTTTGGCAAAAATTTGATAAACTTAAAATACACCTTCCGCTCTGGTTTCACGCTACATCTCTGAGAAATATATGTACGTATATGTTACACTCGTCTCTAGATATGCTTAAAACTATTACGGGTTCATCTTAGTCGAATAACGAGAACAAAACAATGAACCAGCGTTCAGGTAGGTTACTCTGATCCGTTGACCTAAATGTAATAGCAAGAAGTCTTGATATAGCGTAGGAAGTATATTCTACAAACACCCAGCCAGCACACAATGAATCCAAGCACTCGAATCGCGTTTATTTATACTCCATACAGACATCCTTGAGACAGTCACAAAACAGGACACTAAACGAACGCAGTGGCCAATCACAGCCAAGGCTTTTCCTGGTAGGAAATATGATCTCAACGTCAACTGATCAGCCCACGAAATAAATCCAAAATAAAGACATTTATCAAGCGAGTTCTGGGGATCTAACATCACCAACAGTATACATATAACCAAAAAATTATGTACTAACAAGTCTAAACCAAAAAATCATAATTTTCCAAAATTTATCCACACATGAAACATTGTCCAAGCACAAAACCGGGAGAAATGACTCTCTTAAGTTTGTTACAAAGTAAAATAAAGGGGAAACATGGTTTTCTTCGTTAAATAACTCTACAAATGATCATCACCGGGCGAAAATTATTCGCTACTGTTCGACTAATTAGACTGATGATTGTTGATTGAGAATCCCACTAACAGTGTTAACTTTTGCTTAAGAACCATTTGAATTCATTTGACAAATCTTTAGTAAAACAAAAGTCTCTACTAAATATGTTATCAGCTAAAACCACTGAATCAACATTCATTAAATCAAACGGAAAAGAAAATGTGATCAGGCATGGTCGCAAGTTTACGACGGCAGAATATTGTGTTTTTTAATTTATTATTTACACTACAATTATTGATCCACAGAAATTTTCTACATAGTTCAACCTATTCTACTCATGAAATAGTTGATTAAGATTATTTCCTGTCTTTGTAATCATTCGTTTTTTGTTTTTTATTTTTGGCTAGTGGCTTCCGTTTCTTCTTTTTTCCTGTTCGATGAATCACAGCATGACGAAAATTTATTTCCCTCTCATATATCCGTTAACAAGTTAACAAGTCATCGTAATTAATGTCTTGTTTATTCACCTATAGTTGTTGTGTTCAGTCGAAATATCTCTTCATTCCAATTGGTGTATCACACGAGAAAATAAAAATATTCATGGAAATATCTACAAAACGATTACTCAGTCTAAGGTAAACATTTCGTTTATAATTTAGTTTTCAATGACTTTTTCATCTCAAGCACTTGTTTTAGTGATGTTTCATTTAGTTTGAATAATCAAAATCCTTTTTTAATATATGTTTAATTTCAGCGTGCAGTAGAACAAAGTTCCTGAATACTAAAGTCAAATACAGTCATTTATGTACTCGTTTCTGTTGATTCAAACTCTTTTCCGCGCTGAGTTCAAGTTTTCCACATATCCTGTAGATGAGCTTTAACCTAAAACTTGAATCAATCATTCAGTGTTTAAATTATTCTCTCCCGTTTGAATAAACTGTAAAACCAAACCGAATCATAAGTGACGTTTTGATAGTGAAGATTTAAAGCTTTGTCGAATAAGTTTTCAAGCCTTAAATTTCTTGAAATGTCAATATCATCAGCTTAAATTTCAAAAATAAAGGAATTGTTGCGTCAACGTGAACGATGGGCTCACTGTTTGTGGTGGACGTTTTCGACGTCGGGCTCACCATTTGTGGTGTGTCGATTCCGACGTGTTCTTAATCTTCGTGATTAGCTCCTCTAGACAATCGTTACTAACTAGCGTCTGACAGTTTATAAATCAGAAGACGAACTCGTAGTGTTGAATACGTGTATTTGGGACACACCACAAAGTGAAGCCGAGAAGCAGTGAATAAAACGAATGAAGTGACGTGAATTGCAGAAGGCTGTTGAGCCAACTCCTAGGATTACAATGCGAACGAATGTGCGAAGGAAGCGAATGAATAGGCAAAGAGAGTTGGCTCAACAGTCTTCTCCAATTCACGTCGCTTCATTCGTTTTATTCACTGCTTCTCCGCTTCGCTTTGTGGTGTGTCCCGAATAAACGTATTCAACACTACGAGTTCACCTTCTGAACGAATATTAAGAAAACGTCGGAATCGACACACCACAAACGGATAATGTGAGTTTCACAAATGAACTATTTAAATATGAGTTCACTTAAATTTCGCACGAACTATCACTCAGTTGTATACTTGTAAAATTAATCAACAATTCTCAGATTTTATTTAAATCATCAAGAAAATTACATGAAAACATGTAAATTGCAAACCGAATTTTCCCATAAACATACTTTGAAACATTAGTGACAAAAATACTAATTAAAAAAACAAAGGAAATAGTTACCTGAATATACATTATGCAAAACTATAGTAAATAGCACCAGGGAAAATTAAATTACAACTATATACATACTATTTATTTCTTTGACTTGTTCCCTATGATGATGATGACTATTTTCATCATTAATATAACAATTTTACTAGCTAAAACTTAAAACATACTTTTCACAGGAAAGCTCCCTACAGAGTAAACAACAAATATAATAATTTGTAATAAATGCTTTAACAGAATGTTACATAAGAAAAACAACTATATAGAATACGACAAATATTAAACATTTTTACAGTAATTTAAGCCAAAACAAGTTAATTGAAATGCTTTTTACTACTCTACATTCTTTTGTACATTTTTTCCTTCTACAATCTTAACAAAATAAATGAAATCTTAGAGTGAAAAAAAAACATAAATGATAATTATTTCTAAGGGAAACTAGCTAAATGATATTACTTTAGTTAAAATTATTTGAATATTGTAAGTGTTAATTATTCTTGTAATTTCTTTGTTTTTGTTGAAAAATTGTTCTTATCTCCAAACTCTTCCTTCTTTATTTACATTGGACATGCGTATAATGAGTAATTTTTGAAGTTGAAAGTTTCGCGTAAAGAAATCAAAGGAATATTAATTTTAATAATAAAAGGTTACCATTAAAGTTGATCTTCCTTTTAGAAACTTTCTCTACTTAACATTAAATAAGCGATTTATGGGAGATATTCAAGGACTGTGAAGGTTCACTCATTGTTGGATGCCGGCTCAGTGGTTTACAGCTTAAGCGTCCGCCATTGGGACTGAAGGTTCGATTCCCACTTGCGGGCTCATGCATGAGCACCGTTGATAAGCCCCACACCAAGACTAAACGACCTTCTAGTGCTTTCAGATTTCTAATGGTAGCTGAACAGCGATCAGTTCATGATTTAACGAAGCTCAACAGTCTCCACATTTCTATACTGACAATCTATACTATTGCCTGATATTTTCAAAAAAAACTAATCTAAACATATTAATAATTAGTATTAACACCTTAATACTCTTCAAATAATATTCCCCCCCCCCATAAAAGTTCTTTCTAAAACCTTATATGACCAGACCAAAACATGGCAGAAATCCATGAAATCACTGACAAATGGACTGAGTCATGTTGGTAGGTGCACGCTATATAGTTGGGGTCCACGAGACGAAAGTCACCGTTGGTTAGAGTCCTTGAATGACTGGTTCAAAACCTGAATTCCTCATCACTTTATCTTTTTAAGTCTAGTTCACTAGATTCCATTTCTTGAATAATATCTTCGAACCCTAATCTCTCCAATTACTGCTAATACTTCTATTATTCCTACCACAATGGGATTTGAACTGACAATCGCATCTCTATGCTAATGTGGTATGGCAACTTGAACTGATGTACGCACGTACGTACGAAGTTCTACGTTACTGTTGATTGATTGACTGACTACGTGAGTAATATATAGACTATTAGAATATTAATACACGGACAGTTAAGTGTAATTAAGCAAAAGTTCATTCATCATCCATTGGTTGATAACAATTACTCACTCCACATTATTCTCTCAAACTATTTTCACTGAATAATAATAATTCAACCGTCTACCACCATTACGCTTATCTGGACAATCCAAATTTCAACTTCAATTATTTATTCTAACAAAAAATATTTTTTTCCCTTCAATATAACAACAACTGATCATCATTATTTACCAAGAAGTAAGTATAGAAAGAAAAAAGAAACGAAAAAAACTATTTACGCAATAATTATCCATTAGAACATATCTCTATCTATCTAGATTTGTTGATATTACATCGGAATTTTTCAAAAGAATATTTTAAGAAAACAATCCGTTTATTTGTACATACGTATTTATATATATTTATACAATGTGTGTGTTTGTACGCTTATATAATCGCCGATGCAAGAAAGATCTACCTTAAAAACATGGTAAATGAAGCATAGAATTTGATGATCTGAACTTTACAGAAGAAAATAATAAACCTACACGCACACACACTCTCTCTCTCTCTTTATTCCATGCAACGACACAGATGATAAGCATTAGTGGGACCAAAAATGATTATTAAAAACAGATTTTCTAACAGATGTGCCCATTGAAAGCAGCTGCTACATTAGATGTATATATATACTAATTTACTCTCTCTCTCTCTATTGATGAGGCATAATGTGTAGCAATAAGTACAAATTTAGAGTTTTTTAGATCATAATGGTATTTTCTTTTTATTTTTAGGGGTGGTAAATTGAAATGAAATATTATCAAATAAAACATTGACCATATGTTTGTAATTTCAGGCTAGTAGTGAATTATTACACACCAAAGAGAGTAGTATATAATTTCCATCTGATAAACGATTACCATCATTCTCATCAACAACAAACAACAAAGTTCCTGCTTGATCTATTCTTCTTCATTTTTTTTCACTCATAAGCAATGAATGATGAATCATATATTTACTGGTGATCGTTTCGCAATCGTTTTGTTCTAATCATAAATGACACTGAAAAAAATATATATACTACTGTCCTTTGAAAGATGCTTAGTTTTGCGATACAAACAATGGCTTGTTGTCGTTTATTTATCAAATTGTGTATTTGATTGAGAAAAAAAACCGCAATTTAACAACTGACAGTTGATTTCTGTCAAATCACTTGGTTGAACTTCATCTCGGAGAAAAAAAATCATCTTAATATTATTGTGTATTTAGTATCTCGATGAGTAGGTGTGAAGTCCAACCTGTTCGGGTGTAGACAGTAACTACCGAAGACTGTGTATGAGGTTGCGCAACTCCGTGAATTGATCAAGTTAGACATTAACACCGTTAGATACCGGCTCAGTGGTCTGATGGTAAGGCGTTCGCCTACAATACCGAAGGTCCTGGGTTCGAATCCTGCGGGGTGCAGGAGTTGTGGATGCGCACTGCTGAGGAGTTCCATACCAGGACGAAGCGGCCGTCTTTCAGTGCTTGTAGGTTTCTAATGGTGATCTAACATTGATCGATCCATGGTTTCAAAAATATATATAATAGTTATCATTAACAATCTATCTAATGCTTAGATTTTTTAAAATAAAGTTAAACCATGGTAATGATATTCATAAACTCAGATCAAAAGGTTTCATTATTCAGTAAAATAACAAAGTAAACATACGATTAACAGTCAGTCAAGAAGAAAGTCTAAATATAAGTGTTAACAGAAAATTGCATTCAAAACAATAGCAATAATTCGAAAAAGTAAATTAATTTTTTCAACTGTTACATAGATTGAACCATGTCATTCAATGAATGTAGTGATCACTGAGGTCATATACTAGTGATTAGTATGATTTCGTACTAATGACTGGTACAGTCTATTAAACTGTGGTACATTAGATATTTACTTTAGCATTATATTCGAGCTGCCATCAGTGCATGACCAGAAATGTTGATGCCACAAATAATGAACACTGTTACTCATATCATCGCCATCTCTGTATAATAATATGCTTCAACAGACTTAGGATTTCTAGATAATTTTCGTTACTGTTAAAAGTTAGAGCAAATATACCAATCATTCAGTACAGTTATCTTATCAACAGTATCGCTAACGCAGTTCGCTTAGTGTAAACTCATCTTAATGAAACATGTCAATTTATTCTCGTGTGCATTTATAGTCGCAGAGAATTAGTACGTACATAGGCTCTGCAGGTTGATAGATGAGTATCATCCCACATACGATCAAATCATGTTATTCAACAAACTGCATCGAGATGTGAAGGTGAACCAATCAGATATAAATCAGGTCAAACCGGATAGGTTTTCAGAGGTTGACATGAACAACTGTAAGTAGTACAAATCAACAAGTGATGATGTATATTCAGCTCAAAATTAATACACGTCATTACTAATTACCTCACAACCTCACAGCGATACGTCTTTGCCAGGTCAATCGTTACAGTAACGACCATCAGATGGAATAATCATGGTACTTTAACAATATTTGTTGCAATTTTGCTGACAAATTATGTAGCTGTATTCCACTCAGATATTGCTGAAAATAATAACTTGTATGAATGAATGCGTGCTAACATCTATCTGTCAAATAGCTTTACCAACTGTTCAAGTGTGCTAAGTCAACTAAACAGGTTCAATCACAATTGTTTACAGTTTCATAGATAAGACAATTATTACAAAAACCTTTACATAATTGAACACTGACCCTTGAAACACCGAATAATTATGCTATTTGGTCTAATTTATGCTAGAGTGATGATTGAAATGTACCACATAATATCATATCATGAACTAATGAGCTGTGGATTTACACTGTTCCGATTTTTTTTGATAAAACCACTACTTCATGTAATGTTATTTTACAATTTAGGTTCATGGTATTTTTTACTGTGGGTAACATTGAAAGTTGAACTCATTAGCGAGTGATACAGCTGTTTGATAAAATGTATGAATGTTCATCAACTGGACGCTTAGAAAAATATGACTGTTTTGCTGTTATATAGTTGTATTATAAATACTAAACGATTTTTAAAAATGCCTTATTATTTGTTTAACATAGATGAATACTGATTACTAATAAGAAGATAATTATCTTGTAGTTCTGTACCTATTGATATTTGTTGATACTTGTATGTGGAACCTATAGGTAGCTGTTAATTTTATCAAACTGAAAAGCATTAAAAACATTTATACCAATTTTGTAGGTAACTCACAGACGTTGTAGTTGTTTCAATGAAGCGAATACATTATCTGGTAGAGTTTGCAGTAGATTTGAATTAAGTTTCCTGAAATGAAATCGTATGTTTAATAAGAAAACAATATTTAGTGTTTGGAATTTAATCTCTGTTGTTAATATTAATTGTTTTACAAATCATGGGTCCAAATTACTTAGTGAAAAAACAAAACAGTTTCGTCGAAAAACATGCTACAAATAGTGAGTCAGTGTCAAGTATACAGAAGAAGTAGGTTATTTTCAGATAGTAAAGATAATATGACTTGCTTCGTGAGGTATAGGTCGTCCGTTGTAACAGCCGCAAACGAAATTTAAAAGATATTAACTAAAGGATAACCTTATTTTCAACAATGAAATTCCAAATTATCGACTTGTATTCCGTTTACCTGCATCATCTATCATGTTCATTATCCAAAAAGTTGAAATTTCTAACTTTACTCAATTCACTCACAACTAACAATCAGAAGACTACTGTTTCCTGGTTAGACATAGAACCGTTAATATTGCTTTGCACGTAATATACAATAAGCTGATACTTTTGTTGGGGACGCTAGATCCCCAGATCTCGCTTGATAAATGCCTTTATTTTGGATTCATGTTTGCGAGCATGAACCGATCAGTTGACCTTGAGATCGCATTTCCCACCAGGAAAATCCTTGACTGTGATTGGCTGCTGTTTATTTTAGTGTGCCATTTTTGTGACTGTCCAAAGGACGTATCTATGATGTATAAGTAAACACGATCTGTGTGATTGGTTCATTGTGTGCTGGCTGGGTGTTTGTAGAATATACTTTCTACGCTATATCAAGACGTTTCATTAGTCAACTATTCAGGGTACCCAATCTGGACGCTGGTTCATTGTCTCGTTCTAGTTTATCGACTAAGATGAACCCGTAATAGCTTTAAGCATACTTGGTGACGAACCTAACAACTTTAAAAACAGAACAATTGATACGATAAAAAGGTTAATTTACGATTATGTTCTTCCATGCAGGGAAAAGAAACTCACAAAAACAGAAGAATAAAATCATTTACTTTATTTTTAGTTAATGTAAATTAGTATTACGAGTATATAACTAATTTCTAATTATGTAGAAATATTTTTTTTGCAAAAACAGCTCTAAACTTACAAACGTCGTAGATTAGTCAGTTGACTGAATACATTCTCTTCAATATGTTCAATTTTATTATTCGATAAAACTCTGTAATGATAAAAAATATTCAAAAATTATTCAATGGCTGTTTTAAATGAATCAGAAATACTACTCTGCTCTTTCAGTAAATTTAGATTTAGAAAATAATCAACTTAATGAATAAAATTCGATTGCATAAAACATCATTTAGGTTTTGAAAAATTAAAGTTTATTACATTTTATTTTCATTACTACATGGCACGTGAAATGATTAGTTGAACTCTGAATAAATTGAAAAACTAATGAGCGCCTTAATAGAAAAAAAATAAATATTACTTTAGAAAATAATCCACAAGTGCTTTCGGAGAGCAGGAGTGTGTAGGTAATTTAGAAAGGAACCGTCGTTGATTGGCTGCTGCTTTCACCACTTTTAGATGATACCTGACAGAAGTAAAGTGACTGACTGTTGAAGTCACATACATATCTCAGATATCAGTATGGATCTAAGTCTTATCCGTGCTTATTAAAATGTTATTGAAAATCTGAAAGAAAAATCTAAGATTTACACTTTCTTGTATATTGAAATCATCAATCAATCATTGTTAGACCACCATTAGAAACCTGGAAGCACTGAAAGACGGCCGTTTTGTCCTGGTATGGGACTCATTAGCAGTGCGCATCCACAAATCCTGGTACACGCAGGATTCGAACCCAGGACCTGCGGCCTTGCGTGCGAAGGCCTAACCTCTGGACCACTAAGCCGGCATATAAAGGTGTTATTGACTAACTCTGATCGATCTACTTTTTCAATTTAAACCGACTAAAAATCAGTACATACTTAGATTAGCTGAATTGCTTCGTAAAAACGAATGCTCATTTCATTACTTGATGATGATGACTTAGAATTAGCCTCATTAATCGACAATTAGTTAAGCTAACCATCCTCGTGGATTATTTATGTTATCGATTTCAACCAGAAGTTATATATACAGACTGACAACACATATCCATCTAGTAAGTTAGAATTTTTTAACCACATAAACTTTATATTATAAATTAGAAAGGTCATTAAAAATTCGATTTAGTTTCTAGCGGTACCTTAGTTACATACTTTAAACACTCAGGCTTAACTATACTGTTTATTCAAGTTTTACTCAATCGAACAACAAAAATAATTATGCAGCGAAAATTTATTTCAGCAATTTATTAACAGAAATATGTCATAACAGAAACAATTGGCTAAAGTTGATATTATATAATGGTTATACTTTAATGGAGAGTTAATCAAAATTGAAATTACTAACATTTGGAATTTAACTCAGTGGAATTACAAATATCATTCTAGTTGAGAAAAGCTGAAGATCATAAATTCTTTTTCTTTATAGGTCATTAGTGAGGAGTTGTGTGAAACAGTTCGCTAGTTTTCAAATTTACTTAATATTTCTATAAACGTTGTCAATTCATAACGAACATACTTCACAACTTTTCGACTATTCATTAGCGACTAATGTTGTGTTCTCCTTGCCTCTGAGTGCTGAATGAAGTTTATTAATCACGTTTGATTGTAGCAATTAGCCTAATTGACTGAATATCAAATGCTTTACATTGGAAATAATGGATGGTTGGAAGTATTCAACAGTAAAACCTTGATACAGCATTCACGCTAGCTAGAGCTTATCATCCGGATATACTTGCAATCATAAGGTAGTCACTGTAAGATTTTAACTTATGTCGTTCAGCTTTGCAGTGTGAGTACAACTTATAATGGTTTCCTGCCAACATGATGAAAAGCATCTTCAAACCATACTTATCTTACTTCATATTATTCTCATTTAAAGACTTCCTCACAAATTTCTATCCCTTTTAGATTACTGTCACTTTGATACATAATTTTAAGATAACACAAATCTCAACTCCTAGATTTTGAGTAAATCAGCGATACAATCACACAAAAAAATAAATATCTTAACAAATTTTCTTCGTTTATACATAATTCATTTGAAGTTGGGCAAATGTTGTTCCCGGTAAATTAGTTAAACTCTAGTTCTCGTTCACCTTCACATAATTACCCTCCGGGCAAATAAAAAAAAGTAGAATATTTCAATCCACCAGCTAGACTGCAAAAAAATATACAATAATACCCAGTCTTACATAAAATACTATATTATTTCCTGCTGAAAAACTAATATGATTGTGTAATTTACTCTAATTAAATTTATTGAAATTATATCAGTTAGATTCTATTTCTATCAGAATGAACAACATAACAATTAGTAGGTTAAAACTAGTCTTACAGATTGAAAATTTATGTTCAACATTTCAAGTGATGTTAGAGATTGAAAAAAAATATGAAAATTTACCAGTGATCAGTAGATCAGTTGAATCTATGAATATAAATATCTATATTTTTTTTGCAAAATATCTATAGTTTTTTTTAACTGGCTAATTTGTTAAACTACGTAAATAAACCGATGAATTAATTTAAGAACATATCTAAAATTTAAGCAGTAATGATGATTGTAGATAATTTTTGTGTTTAAATTTGGCTTGAGATTCAGTGTGTAGATGATAACAGTTCATGCAGAACCCAAGATTTTCACTTTTCGAAGCGAACATGATGTCCTTCAGTCCATGAATATGAACGGTTTGTATTTTTCTGCTTATTCAATAAGAACCACAGACTAAGCGTTCGTCTATACTTCTGGTAGGTATTCATTCGCTCCACATAAATAGATAACAGACAGACAGATACAACGCAGAACTTCGTACGTAAGTACATCAATTCAGGTTGTCATACCGCATTAGCACAGAGACGCAACTGTCACTTCAAATCACATAGTGATGGCGATAGCAGAAGTATTATCAGTAATGGAGGAGATTAGGGTTCGAAAATATGATTCGACAAGTATGAATCAATGAGATAACTTTAGAAAGAGAAAGACAGGGATTATGAGGAATTCAGAAGGTTAGAATTAAAAAGCATACAAAGAGTGGATATCTCGCCTGCGCCATAAGTGATGCAATTTGACAAAAGCCAATCGAGCTTTCTGTATCCGTGCTGAGATTTCGTCAGCACGGACATCCGACCTCATACTGGTAACATTAATCAATAAGGTTTTGCTTTGCTCTTAGATCGTATCCTCATAAATACCTTTCCTAGTTCAATACACTATATAAAAGTGAATACGCTATGGCTGATAGTCCGACGACATGATAAGATAGATATCAAGTTCACCATAGTATCTAAATGCCGTAAATGCATCGTGAAATCTATCCTCAAATTCAAGCTACTTTCAAAAAACACCTAGCTCTTAGGCACTTCTATCTTCTATCGATTCTTCGAAAACCTGCGACCAATTTCTCTATTCTATCAGATATTTTAAGCTAAAGTGCTGTCAAAATCTATCTAAAAAATTTAAATTTGTAATCACTATTGAATGCTTGATGAATAATATAACTAATCAATAATAAATAAGAATATAAAAGAGTATTTCTAATGAAAAGTAAATTTAAGTTTGTAAACATCTTGAAATTGACTTCATTGTTAGATTTTGAAATTGTATTATTCCTCACCGTATACTATAATTGGATCAACAGTTTTGAAATCAACAAGACTCTTTGGATATCAGTAATAATAGAAATGATAATTATTATTCTTTCATTTACTCTTTTGTCACTACTACCAATAATAATTCAATCGAAAGTAATTAATTATCTTATGATTAGATTAAATAATTGGTTACTTTTATGAATTGTAACAATCACTAAACATTTGAAAATGTATCAAGTCCATATCAGTTGAAAGTAGACACTACTACATCTTTTCTAAGTCAAGCTACAATAGTATTAACTTGTAGAAACCCATAAATAAATAACAGATTTTGTTACGCTGGATAAATTGTACATAGTCATGATTGAAAAAAGAATTACATCATACTTACAATGTTTTCAAATGGATTAAATCACGTAGACTGCCATCATTCAGTGTATGAATATTATTCCCAATAATAAATCTGTTTAGGAGAACAAAAAACAACAACAAAACAGAAATAATGAATTCATCGCATAAAATGTACATTTAAAAAAAAATAGTACTTTGTTTGGTACATTTTACTACAGACAAACTTCATTTGGATCACCAGTGCAACTAAGGCATCTATCTTATCACCGTCATACAGTGTATTCAGCGAAATAATGTTACATTTTTTATTGAAGTATCTGCCTGTCCTGAAGTTTGGAAATTGTTCCAAAAGGTAACCTCTTATAAATTTTGTGCATGAAATATCGATTTAATGTCCCAATAACAGCAAGTCGACTGACAGTCATATACATTCAACTATACGGCTACGTTAGATTGTTCAAGCTATAGAGTCAACATGAATGGGAGATCAACTTACACTATACTATACATACATTGAAATAAAATAGTTACTATGACCAATAGATAAATAAAAAAATATGCGAATTCACATGATCAATAACAACTGAACCTGTCATAATCGTTTTTCTTTTCTTGTAAATGACTAAATTTGACAGTGTTAGTTGCTAGAGCACGGGACGCAATAAATTACAACCTTAACATCAAAACATATCTTCTGTAATACTAGATGTCTATTTTAAATTACTAAAGCTGAAGTATTTTTACTTTCTGTTGAATAAATTAAATCTACTACTGATTAGTTGACACACCTGAACTTATCAATTGTGTTCTGTAACTATATGGGTAGGATAATTTTAAAATGGCTCAATTGTTTGATCTTATAAATATAAATATAAATATTCAATAACATTTTTATAAAGAATGATAATGAAGCATTGTGTATTGATGTAAATTTAACTACGTTATCACTAATGAAGTGAGGAAAGATAGAAAATGTAAGATCAGAAAGTTAATGAAACATGAGATTATTTTGATGAGCTTACTTTAATAGTTATTTTCATTAGTCTGAACTACATTTTTTACTCTAGACACTTTCCTACATAAATAATAACAATAATAGTCATAAAACGATGATTTAATAACGGCTTATTTTTTATCTGTTACTTACATTAAACTTTATCAGAGAGAATGTAATCCTACATCATATTTGAGTTTGAAAAAAGTGAGTTTAGACATTCGTCAACTCAAAGCCTAATATCTATCAATACTGCTTTGGAAAAATGATCAATATTTTAACAAGGTCATTTGGTGAACAGTGCTCAGATCGATTAGAAGCGATGAATTTTTCACGCAAGTTTCATTTGAGATTCTACAATCGTTTGAATTCAGAAAATTGCATCAACCTGGAAAGCATCTAATCATCTAGCACACATAAGATTCTCCGTAAAGCTACTGACGAATAAAATCTCAATAGGTATGTATTTAAAATCTAGACATCCGCTTTATGACCTTATAAACCGAAAAGGGTCAAGTAATTTAGTGCCGGAAAAAATCAGCGAAAATTCTCGAGAATTTCATATATTACTCTTTATCTTACATCCTTAAGGTTATTATCCATATTGTTAAAAAATTAGACTGATAATTATATAGTATGCTAATATCAAACTAAATATATTCTGAATTCTACCAAGTTAATTATCATACAAGATTAATTCATATTTATCAGTAATATCATGTGAGTGAAATTCCCAATAGTTTCATTGAGCGTATACATAATTTGATTATCGAAATTATATATGGAAATTATATATATGAAACAATCTTTTGTTCAACTGGCAAATAATCCATTACCCTATTGCGTAATAAGCCTATGTCAGTCCCAGTAATCTACATGACGCAACATCTCTCGTTTCTTTTTCTTACATATCCAGCTCACTAACAACTTCGAAATAACCAACACTATAAAGGACACGTAGAGAATAAATTCCTTAATGTCATTAAAAAAATGCTCTTACTGATATGATAATATTTAGAAATGAAGAGGATAAAAATAATTTAGTATCAACAATTATCACATTCCACATATAATTAGTCAATAATATGTAGGTTTAAAGAAATTCTTATCACGTTTCACAATCATGCATTCGAATTAATCATTCAAAAGGATGTCCAACACGGAATACCTTAACAAATTTCTTTTTAGTGATCGGAAGTTGAAATCGACATCGCGATGAGTATTCATTATTTTCTCAGCAGACTGTCAGCCATCGTGACGCCTTGGACAGTAATCAATCATTAGTAAGTAAATTTGGGATTGTTTGTAAAATAAAATTGTTAATACTGAGGTGACTAGGTCAGTCAGTCAGTTACAACATCAAAATTCGTACACAAGTAAATAATTTCAGGTTGCCATACCACATTAGCACAGAGACATCACTGTCAGTTCAAATCCCATAGTGGTAGAGATAGTAGAAGTATCAGCAGTAATGGAGAAGATTAAGGTTCCAAGATATGATTCGAGAAGTATAATTCAGTGAGATAAATTGAGAAAGAGAAAGATAGAGATAATGAGGAATTCAGAAAGTTGGAATTTGAGAGAACACAAAGAATGGAGGCACCTGTGCCAATGCAAACGGTTTTGAGCCACGTCATTCAAGGTCTCTAACCATCAGTGACTTTCGTCTCGCGGATCCCAACCAAGTAGCCTACATCTACCAACATGACTCAGTCTACTTGTCAATGACTTCGTGGATTTCTGCCATGTTTTGGTTTGGCTGCCCCTAGCTTTCACCCAACTTACCTACACCGCAAAACACAGCTCTTCAAGGCAGTCGGTTGTTGAGCCTACGTAATAAATGTCCCAACCAACTCAACTGATGAAGTTTCAATACATCATCTATTGATATGCCATCCCTACCTAGTACTTGTTTCCTAACTATAGCATTTCTAACTCGGTTGTCGCAGGATGTACGAACAATGCTTCGAAGACATCTATAATCGAAAACCAGTAAACCCAACGGTTGTCTACTACTCTTACCGGCCATGTTTCGCATCCATATATTAGGTGACTAATATGTAGTACAAAAGTGAATAAGCTTTTAGATTAAATGAAATTGTGAGATTAATAATTAGAACAAAGAGTGAGAGAAATAAAAACGTAATTCTCCGCGTTAAATTCATTTGCTATAAAATTGCAAACAATGTGTATTTACCTCAGTCCTGATTATTCATTTGTATCTGCTAAAAAGTTTATTGAATAGAATACTCTTCATATAATATTATTTTGCATTTTATTATGATGAGAATATTTAAGTGATGTGTTAGTCCATCAATCAGTTCCAGTTCGAGAGCAATTATTTTATTGCGGACAGTTCAAACAAACATGTCTCTTATACCTCCTATCTGGTGAGTTAGTTAGTAATCAATCAATAATATGACATTCTCTATTAACTGAACATTTTATGATTTACACATATAAAAAAAAACGCAGATTTTGATTTTTTTTTTTATTCTTCTTAATAGATCTATTATATTTTTAGTATCAGATGTAAGTATCAGGTTGTTGTAAACGCATTTATCAAGCTATTTGTGAGTAGGAGGAAAGTAGCTGAAAAATCACTAACCAGTAAAAAGCACTGGACATCCAATTTATCACAGCACGAAATTTATCATAATCAAAATCAAGATATTGCAAATAACCCTAAAAGTCTTGTGCTTGATTACCAGTTGTTCTTGACAATTGTAGTCAACTTTTTATTGCGTAATATTCAAATAAATTACCATTAAAAAGAGGCAGGAGATTCAAATTCCAAAAAGTGATGTGATTTCAAAACTTTCTTGTACAGTGGAAGTTCGAAATTATTTTGTTGTTTCAGATATTTCTAATGTTACAAAATTGAGAAAAACTATGCATCTTCATTTATATGTCAAAAGTATTTTAGAAATAAGTTTTGTTGAATCGAAAGCGTACAGCGAAAATGTTATACCTCTGTCTAACACTTACCTAACTATAAAAACAGAGTCATATCGTTAAATGTATACGTTTTACTGTATGATGTAAGCTCAAGAGCAATTTTTTCAGGAAATTTACTTAAGTTCTGAGTGGGAAAATTATATGCTCGTCATCTATGATCATTTATACAGCAATCATCTTTGTTTTTGAGTTTCGATTGAAGTAAACATTTGGTATCTCTAAATCTTATAAGTCGGATCATTAGCCAGCCGTTATTATGACTTGAAATAATAAGGGAGTTATCTTCTTTCACGCTCACGCTTATCACAAATAAAACTAACTAGATGACACAGTTTCTATAGAACTAAATGAAGTAAAAATAGGAACTAGTTACATAATCCTAACATTTCCAAGACAATTATAGTAAAATATATGAGCATAGACAAACAAATATTCTTTGAGTCTATTTTGAATCAGTCTTGCTTTTGAGAGATATATTTTTTTCAGATGACTATCTCAATAAAAAGGAGAAGAGATTTTAACAAGTTCGTATTTGAATTTTGGTGATTGTATATGGTTTTTATTGCTTAAATCATGAATGAATCATTGTTAGACCCCATTAGCAACCTGCAAGCAGTGAAAGATGGCCGCTTCGTCCTCGTATGGGACTCATCAGCAGTGCGCATCCTCGAATTCTACAACCCGCGGGGTTCGAACCCAGGAGATTCGGACTTGCGCGCAAACGCTTAACCTCTGGATCGCTGAGCCGACATCCAACGGTGCTAATTTCGTAATCTGATAAACTAAGGTTTTTTTTCTAAATTAAAATTACTGACTGTCATAAGAAAAATACATTAAAACTAAATACTAATCAGTTTAATAGTTTCTTTCTTGATTACCGTCATAGATTTTGGACTGATTCTCTTTCTGAAATCTATATAGTTTAATTCACTACTGTTAGATATATCTTTACACTGTGGAGAATATAATTAAATTACAAACATTTTCATTTAATCAAAAAGTATTCACTAGCGGAAATACAAAGAGAACGGCAGTTACATAATGTTTCATCATTTTTGCCTGCTGTGCCTAGTAAATACTTGCTACTTATTTCACTATATTCCTCTATTCTAACATCACTACACTACACTACACTACACTAACATCCTAACATCCTTCTTACATCTCATCACCGTACACTGAAACATTTTATCAAGAGAAGGCGGATGTGTGGGGGGATTAAAATACAATCCTTAGGAAAAAATATATTCGTTTGAAAATGTATTTATTTTCTTTAGAAAAAAGAATTCCACTGAATCTCACTAGGTTTTTTTTTGTTTTTCAGGTTATTATTTTTCATCCTATTTCTTTTTTGAAATTTAATATGAAAATGTAAATCAAAACCACAAAACTCTATATATTTGTCTAATCTCATTCATCACTCTCCTACAACATTTTATCAAGACACAAAAAAAAAGTAATCTACAATCAAAAATAAGAAGATCTTAGTCTAATTAAAAATGATGATAATAATCATAAGAGAAATATCAAAAATTACTTTCATCATGTTCACCAATAATAAATAATTTGACAGAGATTCTTGACAGATTTCAATGATAAATACCTGATGTGTATTGCACTTACCGCGTTTGTATTTTCATATATTCTAGATTATTGCTGTTTATAGTCTTGTGTGTCATGTGGGTAATGAGATAACTTGATTTTGGAGTGTATCTTAGAAAATTAACTATGTTTTAATTTAATCGTGGTCTTTACACGCAAGCATATTTTATTTTATACTTGTGAACTTAAGAAAATACATGACTTAGGTATGAGAATGAATGGAAAAAGGTAAGATCGTGAAAAGATGGTGCTACTGACAACATTCAAATTGTATAGAAAAACGTATTCGGTATTTTCATTATTGAAAGCTATCTCTGAATTTCATTGAAAAAAAGGTGAGATAGAAATGTTGGAGAAAGCGGTGGATGATGCTAAAAGTACAAATGGTGTATTATCTGAGTTGATACAGGAACGATAGAATAGTTCAGTCCTATCTTATTTTACTTACACAGTGTCTATAGAGTGATTAGGCTAAGTTTCATATCTCCTAGGATAACCCATAGGAGCCCATAGAAGCCAGAAAACTTCCATCCAGTCACAGCTCAATAGAATTTCTAGAATATCGATGATGACATAACATTTCTCACTGAGGTCTGGATGATTTTATATGCTGTTTTCACTCCATACAAAAAGTTACCATTATACAATGTTTCTCTGTGAACTTTTAACAATTGCTAGATCAAAGATGTCTTCAATCTGTTCCCGCTTTCGTTGTACGATCTGGGGACAGTCCTATTTGACCTAGTGCTAAAGGTTGAACTACGTTTTGAAATTATAGTTCTAGCAGCAAACAACATTATTAATGGAGGCATTTACAACAGCTCTAGATAATTAATATTTCTTAAGCAGAAAAAAAAGTGATTATCTGTCTCAGTAGTTTTTTAACGTCTTGCACTTGTAAATGTCGTTAGTACTGATCAATCCTAGTATTCTTGAACGTCTAACGCAAACACCTACTTATAAGTAGTATATGACGTGAGTGTCAACGTAATGTCTGGCAGCAGAAGATGGGGCAAGATCAAGAAAGGAAGAGTTAGAACACAATGGAATTTGTATGAAACGCATGAATAGTGACAATGGATTGATGTTTTGCAACAGGAACAGTCCAGTTCGATATGATGAACTGATATTTTGCAAATTACCGATTTACGATATGGTTTTCCGATTTTACTGAGTAACTCTGTAATTTCGGTTAAGTACAATCCGGTTGCTCTACCTGTGTTCTCGTTCACTACAATAGTATTGAAGAGAAATTTCTTTTTGATTTGTCAAACGATGCAAATTGAACATGAGCTCTTAAAATAAGCTGTGCTCTGTGAGCATGACACTAGTTTACAACGAGTTGCAGTTCGATTATCGATTTCCAAAGTTAGCATGTTCATGATATAGCCCAGCCTACAGACAACGCAACACATGTATATGTGAGCATGATTGTTGACAAATGAGAAATCTGAAGTATGGATAAAATAGATAATCGGTTGACTTTTGTTTGCAAAAGTTGTTTAGCCAATTCCATTTCGAAATCACTTCAGTCAGTCAGTCAGCTACAACGTAGAACTTCGTATGTAAGTACATCAGTTCATGTTGCCATACCACATCAGCACAGAGATGCGATTGTCAATTCAAATCCAATAGTGGTAGAGATAGTAGAAGTACTACTGGTAATAGAGAAGATTAGGGTTCCAAGATATTATTCAAGAAGTACAATTCAGTGAGATAAGTTTAGAAAGACAAAAGTAGAGGTGTTGACGAATCCAAAAGATTAGGATTTCAGAGAACATGAAGAGTGGATGCACCTGTGCCATCGCAAACGAATTTGAGCCATGTCATTCAAGCTCTCTAACCATCGGTGACGTAGGTCTCGCGGACCTCAACCAGGTAGCCTACATCTACCAACATGATTCAGTCCACTTGTCGGTGACTTCACGGATTTCTGCCATGTTTCAGTCTGGCCGCTCCTAGCTTTCTTCCAACCTACTCCTATACAACGAAAAATAGCTCGTCGAGGCAGTCGGTGGTTAGGCATACGTAATACAGGTTCAAACCACCTCAACTGATGAAGTTTCACTACTTCATTCATCCATCCATCTCAACCTAGTACTTGTTTCCTAGCAACAGCATTGCTTACCCGGGTGTCCCACGATACACGAGCAATGCTTCTAAGCCATCTGTGATCGAAGACTAGTAACTTACGAAAGTCCTCCACTCTTACGGGCTATGTTTCGCATCCATATAGGAGGACGGAACGAACTGCTGCACAGAACACTCGAGCTTTGATTAGCAAACAGATTTCTCGCCTACGCTATAAATGACGCAAGTTGGCAAAAGCCAATCGAGCTTTCTGTATCCGTGCTGAGATTTCATCACTCACCAGGCCATCAGCGCCTATGGAACTCCCGAGATAAGTGAAGCGGTCTACACGCCCAACTACTTCACCCCTTATCACTAGTTCAGCTGCCGATGCAACCCACTCTTGAAGCAATATTTTGCATTTCGAGGAGGAAACCCGCATTCCGAACATGCTTGCATTGTTGCTTACGGTAGTCAGAAGACTCAGCATTTTGTCTTCACCGATTAGAACTATGTCATCGGCATCACTTACATCAAATTAAATCAACAAAAATCAAATGTGAAGTGATATCAGTGAAGTAATTATTAGGGCCTGCTCACTGAAATACGCTTAATGTTTACTAGAAACTAGTTACAAGAAAACTTTATTTATAATGAGAAATCATTAACCCTAAGTGAAAATAATCACGGTCAGTAAGAATACACTAAATCACATCTCTAGAAAAGTTTTAGCTTTATACTGATATGAATCCTTATGTTAGATGACTTGTTGACTGACTTCATTTTCTTACAGTGATAATGTATATCAATAAAACTGTGAACTGATTATTATAAGAGTGATTTACTATGCCTCATAGATATATTTTTACTACAACCTACCTGTTCTTGCCATGTTCAAACATCAGTCAAATCAAACAGAGCTTTAATTTTTCATTATCTATTTTGTATATCTTTGGAACATTTTCTCAGTGTGTATACGCTCTCCTTGCTAACCCATTAAATCTGTATCAGTATTTTAACTTAACAATACAACTATAAACATTTACTATCATTTGACCCTATTCCTGATAGTTGAATTTGACCTTTTTTTATGAAGAAAAAAAACTTGACCCCATTCTATTTCATAGACAATGAATGAATGATAAGTACACGTGTATCAAAGTGTATTTTATCAATATACTATCGTTCATAGGACAGGTTGACTTATGTTGTTTAGCCAATACTATAAATTCCGTAACCTGACAATCAGACAATTCAAATGATTTTAACGAAACAAGTGGTAAACTATGAATATTAAAATGAATACTAAACAATATTCAACTACATCTGTCAGATAGAATACTATGCGCAAAATTCAGTAACAACCTGTGTATGTTATTTCAATTTAATTTTGTACAGTTTGGATTATCCGGTTATTGCTAGTTTGACTGAAATTTAATCAGTCTTAGTTAACATATATGCATTCTTTGGGGACTACTGGCTCGATATAGTTTACACTAAATACATGGAATGTGATTGATAGTGGTGTGGTGCGCGCTACTTATAAGTAGTATATGACGCGAGTGTAAACGTAATGTCTGGCAGCAGAAGATGGCGGAAGATCAAGAAAGGAAGAGTGGGAACACAATGGAATTTGTATGAAGCGCATGAATAGTGAAATGTCAGACAATGGGTTGATGATGGATTGAAGATGTGCAAATTAACGGTTACGATATAGTTTTCCTATTTTACTGAGTAACTCTGTAATTTTCGTTAAATAGGATTCGGTTGCCCTCACCTGTGTTCTCCTTCACTACAGTGGGATCCATAATTCGTGTTTCTTCCCATTTGCAACTCGTCAGTTCAAAGTGTTTGCTTCTAAAACACATTACAAGTTAAATTTAACATTCTTATCAGTTACACAATTCGAGTGGTTATGTGGAATCGGCAGCTAAGTTGACGGGGAGTCTGTGTTTGAAGTGAACGACACTAAGTTCTAGTTCCAAAGCGAACATCAAATGTAAAGTGCTAGCTACATTCCATCCACTTCATTAGCTCGTAACGATAGTAAATTCTCCTACTACAACAATAGTTAAAACTAACGTTACATTCGTAGACATATTTAAGATCAAGTTACAATCAACTAATTCAGTTTAATATTAGTTGTAGACCAATGCAAATATTACTGTTTTCTGAAATTATTAGCTGTGATTTTGAATGAATTATCTTAATGTTTGAGCTAATCTTGTAGCATAATATTTAATAGAGTAATCATTCCGAAACAAATGATACTAACAACTACGTTATATATAATTCAAGTCTAACTATTGTTCTAATAAGATTGGAAATTCAGTTTTTCTGTCCATTATTTGCAAAACTGTTCTGTCAAATCGAGACAAAGAATTTTATTCCCATTAAGAACATTCATTACTTAAAGACAACAAGCAGTATTAAAGCTTGGAATATTTATTAACTGAGAAAAAAGTATATAAACTCATTAAAAGATAGTACGTGATTTCTGACAAAATTTTTAAAAATTCTCCAACAAAGTAATAATGTTATTAAATTATTTATTGATTAAAATCTACTTATAACCTAATGAACATTAAGGGGAATCTATGTCTCTTATCCTAAATAATGCTAAACAGCCCCTAAATACTATTGATGGTAGCCTATGGAATGTTTCCTTAAAATACTTACTGATAGCTCGATTGAATAGAAATATAGAAAAACATTATATTTAAACATATTTTCAATGTTTGTTAAGTGTTCAATAAATAACAAAATGATTATTGAGAACTGTAACGTCTTGTGATAGTAGTATATTGTTTTATTTAAAAAAAAAGAATAAAATAACCAATTTTAAGCCTTTTAAATTTAATAAACTTGTTTTGTAGGTATAGAAAAACATTTTCTATGCAGAAACGTACATGTATATACGTTGTAGACATGAACTTATTTACTTTTTACCAAGGAATACTAATTTTCTCAAAATGTTGCATGGTTGATGAGATTAAGAATAGATATT